AAGTAGAATTACAGGTATTCGGAGCCCATTGTAATAATACTACTGAACACCGGACCAACCCTGGATGCGGACTCAACATTGTTTTTCGTATAGAGGCATTTTGAGGCAATTATAAAGTACGAAATCTATTTAATCTTAATACTGAAAACCTCTGAAAAAAGTTAAAGACGTATTTGCTTGGCGATTTCCCCCTTCTTACAGATACAGCCGAATAACTTCTGCTTCACAATTTCTGCTTTCTCTTTACCTTCAGCACTTCTGTAATATTTATTGAAAAGAACTCCTAGCCTATAACCATGACTTCCATAAAGGCCAGGTTATACAAGCCATGACATTAAAGATGTCTTCTCTTGATAGTTGAATCAATCAAAAATAAGCTATATTTGTACATTTGCTACACACATTCGTCCTAGATTTGTTGATCTCTGGAATTCTATGCTTTAACAATATTTTATAGATGGCAATAAGTATTCCAACCTCGTGAATTAGCAGATGACTGGTTATACAAACTGTGACCATAAAGATTTCCTCTATTGTTAGCTCAGAAAGTTATTTGATTTTTTTATCAAGTGTTGGTTACATTATCCTGTTCATAAGTGTGGTCTTTTGAACACACTTATGCATTAACTATATTTTACAGATGAAGAAAGATTATCCAATATTGCTTCCATTTGCGCTCGGATAATGATTGCTAGTCTACCTAACCAACTTATCAGTCCTACAGTTTTCTGAATAGAATGACATTAACATTCTACCACAAAGTCCATATTAAGTATACCCTAAATTACCCTAAGCTGTTAGGTAATCCAAAATAATTTTTCATCCTAATATCACCGAATTAATTGATTTGATGGGCGTCTGGTGGTATCTTTATCATGTATTTAAATTAATAATCATAATCTACTCATTTTGTTGTTGACTATAAACATATAGTATATATATATATATATATATATATATATATATAAATATTAATAGATATTATATTCCTCTTTTTCAATGATATTTCATTTTTTGAAGAAGTATGAAACTTCGTATGCTACAATTTAAAATCTAAAAATATTTATTCTACGAACTCTCTTCAATGAGAAATAACTGTTCCATTTTTTCATTAAATATAGTGTGACTCTCAAAAAAGATACTATTTGCTGGATACGTACTACATTAAGCACCTATAATTAATGATAATAGAACAATTTCATAACTTTTAAATTTTATATTATATAAAAAAACAAATGACTAAAAGAATTGTAAGAATTGCTGTGAAAGTCATTTGTAATGTCAAGCAATTAAGATAGTCTTGCACTACTGCATATTCTAACAGAGAGTTTGAGTAAAATCAATACATTGAACTACATTTCGAGTGAAGCCTTTTATATATACCTATAGGATGAAAAACATATACTTATTATATATTGGATCTTGTACAAAAAAATACTAACTAATCTTCTATGTAACAAAATAAAATATAAGAGCGAATATACAAATGAGGGGTTGCTCTTAATAAATACTAACAATGATAACTTCTCATAATTGAATCATTACTAGATATATAATTATTAGGAAATTTGCTATGATTTACAATTTCAAATGTTTAAATATTTAACAAATAAATGGTTAATAAAAAAAACCTTCGTTTCAAGAGGTGCAAATTACGTTACTTCTACAAACTCTTATGTTGAGCCTTATCCGAGTCAGTGCATTTGTGAACTTTTACTCTATGATGGCTGGGGGTTTCTGCAGAGTCCCACCCATCTCACTGACTAATTTGAGTATTCCTGATAATCTTCGTTATTATTCAATAATTGATCTAAGATCTGCGTACCGCACCGTGCGGTTAGTGATTACTCTGAGATTAGATAGTGCTAAGTAGGGCAGCCTGTCGGTTTTCGCATATAATTCAGAGCTCTGTCCCTTATGTATTTTTTGACTGGATCTATTTTAATGTCTCTTACCATGTCATTCGTGCGGATGTACCATGGCACTTTGCAGAGCCTTCGGAGAGCCTGACTTTGAGCAACTTGTAGCTTTTGGATAGTAGAATCGGCATCTTTGTCGATCAGCTTTCTGTTCTTCGCGCTAAGGTTATTGTTTGCTACGAACAAATTACCTTAGACATCTTTTTCTATATTCCCCTTCTTCTACCTCAAAAGGAGAGATTTTTTATATATAATATACACTGTTTTTTTGTTATTCTGTTGTGTTCGTTAAATATCAAAATACATAATATTTAAATACACAAATTCCATTCAAAGTAATAATTGTTTTAAATTATCTTGTTAACCAGTGTAAAATTTAGCAGTAAAGAGAGCTACTCACTCACACTACGTAAAAACAGAGCTTAAATCTCTTTCCAGTTTGAGTATATTTTTAAGTATAAAAGAAATTGAGCCTGTATCTTTCTTCAGATACTTTTATTCAGTATAGCGAGGAGTCGGACTTACTTGGATATCGTGCGGATATAAAGAAATTATTAAGTAGAGAATAATATATATATAAAAAATAAAACAAAATGCCTTGCCCTTGTGGAACTGGTGAGTCGGGTGAAAAGTGTAATTTAAAGAAAGTTGAAAAAAAATAAAATTGTTTAGTAATTTTATTAATTTCTAAACAAATTTCTTGTTTAATTTGATAACAAAAAATAACAAAAAAAATGGCAATTTATATTTTTAGATTGCAAATGTGGAAAAGGTGGAGATACTGGAAAGAAAGGTTGTACTTGCGGACCGAACTGCACCTGCACTACAACCAAATCATGCGGTTGCAAATAAAACTTTGAGCAAAACATCATTAAATTTTGTTAAAAGAAAAACAAATTAAAAATTAATTATTTTTCAAATTGCATTATCACAGCTTAATAATGTTACTTATATTCATATGTTAAAGTATTATAAACAACAATAAATAATTCAAAAAATAGATCTGTGAAGTGATTTTTCTCACATCAAACTAAGTCTAAACTATCTTAAGCTGAAGTTGGTACAATAGGACTCTTCAGCCCGCAGTACCGGCTGTTGGGCAATTTTCACGTCTACACTTTTAATACAATAATCTTAAGCTGAAGAGTGAAAGAATACTTTAGACAATGCTGGGTGGATTGTTATATGAAAATAAATATATATTTATATATATATTTTTGCAAATATGACTCAAATATTTAATGCAGATGAGATGCGATGAGGTTTTTGTAGACTATTGACTTCAAACTGTATGTCAATTAATCAATTAGGAATTGTTATCTACGTTTTGAATGACACATTACTTGAAAAAAAAATAATATTGTGAGTATATAAATAAAATTATCACTGAAAATATGTAATATATTAATATATCAACAGTTTTTTACTTACAAAAAGTAGAAAATACTGTTATATGGTATATGTTTTGTAAGGTGGATATTATCCACCTTAGAAAGAGCGGTATTACTAACCAGTGAAATGATAATGTATATAACACTGTAGCTACGTGAGTTGTCTTATAGCCCAAAAACTAAATAATTTAGTACAGCCTTTGTCTACTGAGCTGGTGGCAATACTCTTCTATTATATATAATAATAACCATAGCGAAAAGATATGAGTCCCTTCTAACGTTATGTTTGAATGCTTTTTGAAAAAATTGCAAAAACTATAAACAAGCCGTACTGTCATAGATTACCTAGTTGAGTACTAATCATATACAAATAAATTGTTTCTAATCAAGAGGGTATTAATGCAAGAGACGAATTATAAAGAAATCATCGTCATCATTGGGTTCAAAAAACCCAAAACATGTGTAAAACAGGATTAGATATAGGGGGATAGTAAGAAATAAGTTGTCAAAGAGGTAACCGAAAAAATGTTCTGTCAAGAAATCAATATCTCAAAAATAGTTCATTTAAATACGTAGTCATTTACCAGGATTTATATGACTTTACATGACTTGACTTTGTACTGAAATATATTTGGTACAATATATTATAATGGTTTGAAGTTAATATTTTTTTTTAAAGATATTCGATTGTATTATAAGATAAATTACTATTCCGTATACGTGTATTGTGCTGTATTGAAAAATTGGAAATACCACTTTCAATATTAAATCTATTTAATCTAAAAGTTTAGTAGAATGAATTTCTATAATAATTTATAAATGAACTCTACAGTGAATTAAAAATGAACTCTACAGTAAATTATAAATAATATCTTGTAGGTTTTTGATTATCTGCTCATAGCTGGATCATAGCCCCAGATATAATGTTGTTAGTATGTATAAATAGAACTCATAAAACTAACTTTTAGATTTTATAAAAAATATCGAGAGTGTCAATAATACCAATAATGAAGTTACAAACGTTTAAAATATACCACAGAAACAACTGAACCTTTTAAATGAGTTAGGTCTATTGAACTATGAATAACTGTTTTACAACATTTAATAAAATGCAACCTTTTGCAATTTTAACATAAAAATCTTAAATATTAAAATATAATTTTTGAATAAATTTCAATAAATGTCATTCATCAGTTAGCTAATGAATACTGATTCTGAGCTTCAACTTTGGCAGGGTACGATTCAATCCTTGGTACTTGCAATCTAAAAAATGATTACAGATTAGGTGACTCTACTTATTATTCTTAAATAATATGATTATATTTAATACTAACTCTTCGAACTTACTGTCGCAATGATATTCTTAATGTAGATTAGATATATTGTAAAAAATTATTACATTTAGATGTTTTGGTATTGTTTGGAATCTGCAATACTCTGTCTGACTTTTAAGCTGAGACTAATTTTTATCTATAATGTACATCAAATTATTACATTTATTATATATTATATTTATCATTGTATGGAAAACAATGCACTGCAACTCAGGTGACCTATTGTGCTAATTCTTAATTGCGACGTTTGCTTAAAACCACAAATTATATTACTAAGTCTTAGTTAACTACAATACATATATATAATATTATATCAAACTACACATATGTATATATATTTATAAAAATGTACTTATATATTTAATTTTCTATTTTTTTTTTAATAAATATTTACAGAATTTGAGCAAAGCTTTAAATATATATCACCGAATTTTTCAATATATACAAATCATAACAAGATAAGTTCATTTACAGACGACTAACAAACAGTATACAAATAGTAACATATCCACTTTTTAATAATTAGGTTTTAAAAAAATAATTAGAACAATATCACTTAATTACAATATTTTGGGCCAATCGCTGTACAAAGCCAACATTCAAGAAATTGGCCATTAAAGTAAGCACAGATTTCTTTGGTGGTCGACAGTGACGTAGGCCAGCCTCTTGACAGCAAACATTCGGAAAACAGTCCAAAGTAGACGTGCAAGCTTTAGGATGTAAATCAAATATCGGTGGTGGAGGTGGTGTACATTCAAGATATTCTGACACTGTCAAAGAAAGCATTCACAATAAAATCTAAATCTTAGTCATCTAATAAGAACTGCAAACTACTTACAGTAATTGAAAGAACGTTTGACCGGTACGGGTGCAATCTCTAATTCAGGTTGTGAAGTTCGACAATAACGTTTTTGTCCATCTGGGCAACATACACGCGGCCAACAATCCATATCGGTTTGACATTCTTGCACGGACCACCATAATTCAGCTAGAGGACGAGTGGGGCATTTACGTGGTATGATACCCAATATGGCTGCAAATGGAATTATTTTATTTTATTATTTATAAATAAAGAAATGCATAAATATGGTAATTGAAATTAAAGTTACTTACGTGCATGAGAACTTTCTTCTAAGGGTTTCTGCATACCTGAGACACAACTTTTTGATCCGAAAATATCGCAACATAACTCTTGTCTATTCCAGACACTGCAGTCCTTATCGTTATTACAGATTTTAGGAAATAGCTGGAAACGTACTTCACTTTCTCGTGGACAATTGAAGCGTGAACGTAGACTCTCAAGTGTCGCACGTTTCTCTTTTTCCTTCTCGGGGTCGATTTTTTGTGATTGTGGATTGGTAAATTGTAGTGTAGGCAATGCAATCCGAAACGGAACATCGGAATTGTCCTTTTTCGGCGTTTTTGTGGTAGTGGCTACTGTTGGCTTTATATTTGGAGCTTTAATTTTCTGATAGCTCAGATTCTTATCATCTTTTGAAGTAGCAACAGGTGGTGTACGTATATATTTTTTTGGTGGTCTTTTACTGATTACTTGAGGAGGAGAAGTTGTGGTTGTCGTTTGCCCAAAATTCCAAAAATCACGTGAAAATATATTAAATGGATTGTTTTGTGCAAAATTACCAAAGATATTTGGTGGAGGTGCTGAAATATATAGGAAAATTAATATCAATATTTGTTTTAGGTAATTATGTGTTAGGTATTATATTAAAAATATACAAAGCAGTAATTATATATATTACAAAAGTAAACTTGAAAAAAAATATATATATAAAACCAATGAACTTGTATTCTACAATAGAAACATTTTTAAACCTGTAAGACTTGGTTGCCCAAATTTTGTAGATTGCGCTTTCCGACCGGTAACTTCCCTGATTTTATTTAGTAATTTATTAGGTAATTATATGTAAGTGTTTGCTAGGCATATAAAGTAACCTAACTAACCTAGTTTCATTAAGTATTTAGCTATTACACACTAGCATTTTAATTACATTTTCATTAATTTTAAATACCTCAAATAAAAACGAAAATAATAGCGCATCTGCTTAGCTCAAAAGTAACTGACCAATAAGTAAGTGCAGAAGAAAACTAATTAAAGCAGCGGGAACCACAACTGACCACTGTTGAGTGCGTCTTGATTATATGCGGCTTAAAGTTGTGAAAAAATATTTCCTCAATTTGCCTGTATACAGGGTCTTTTCGTAAAAATATTTAATAATATTTTTTTAAAACTATTATTACGGTAGACGAGCTTTTAAAATTTTTAAAAAGATTTTAGTTGTTTGGAGAAAACCAAATGGAAGTTTAAAATCTAATTCCTCTTACTTCTTTCTGTTTGCGCAAACTGGAAGATACTGGAAGAAACAAAATATCTTCACAGCACGCAGTTTCGTACATAGAGAGACACTTTCCATTTAAACAGACACTACATATACCTATTTCATCTCAACGGTATATTACAATGAGGCAACTCTATCGGGTATCGATTAGGACTTAATTCTCTGAATTCTAATTGGTCTCCATAACATTTCACATATCCACCACCTCTATGTAATATATGAATAATATATGTATTATATGGTAAAAAAGTGGAATCGGATAACCCTTATGTAGAATTTTTCCCTGAGCAGTACATAGTTGAGCACCTAAATGTGACATTAAATAGCAGAATTTTCACCCAATCTATCATAGTTGTTCACATATATGTTTGTGTTATGAATATATCGACACCTATTAAAATCAACAGATAATTTGTGACAAGATCTGTCTATTGTGACACTTATTTGTTTAATTGTGCTTTTGTTTATTATAAGTGAATACTAATTTTATATTTGAAAATAAGTTTAAAGAAAATGTTAGTATTGATTGTAATAAAGTTACAATGCCGTCCACACGGATAATTATATTATAAATTTTTCTCTTACTATTTACATTCCAAAATTTGGTTCAGATAAATTAAAAATAAAAATTTCTTTAATTTGAAATAACATAGCATTATATATTTATATATGTAATAGATATTTTACACTTATCTAGTATTGGTGATCCACGATCAATCATTGCTTAAATATACGAATATCATTTATTCATCAAATTGATCTGCGTGGATCGCTACGGAAAATTGTGTTCAGGCAGATAAATAGACACATCTAGTCTATATGTCAAAAGATAGACAAAAGATAGATAGACGGATAGACAAATGGAAAGACAAATAAATAGCCAGATGGATAGACAAATAGATAGAGAATCGAATAGACAGATGGATATGATTAATAGACAAATAGATAGAAAAACGAGTAGACCAATGGATATACAAATATACAAATAGCGAATTAAAGAAACAGAGATGCAAATAATCAAACAATACAAATATAGTTATGGTAAATCAGTTCTTGTTTTAGTGTTTGACTAAGGATACGTGGTTTTCTTCATCGCTTTGCAAATACCTATTTTAATAAACTGAGAATACTATTAAGTCACAATAATCTGAATAGTACAGAAACTCTGCATGCTCATTATTTCATATACATTATATTTTGACCTTATATTAAGTTAAAGCAATGCCAAATAATCATCATTAAGAGGCACAACTTGTACTCATACTTCAAACACCCTGTATAATTTCATATTAAACATTGACTGCCAGTAAGTAAGAAATATGGAAGCAAGTTGGATTATAAGAGCTTTTCGAAAGATTTTCTATATATGCAATTATGTATACATAATTGTTTATGAACAAATTTACAACACAATAACTTTTGTTTTTAAAAATATCACATCAAAATATTTTTTTTTATTCAAATAACAAAAAAAAAAAATTAATATGCAAGAGTCTTGAGATACATCGTAACTATGTCACTTCGAGCTGGAAGTTGTCTTTTCTGAATGCAATAAAGACGCAAGGCAGCTGCAGATATGAAGGCTGACTGACAGATAGACAGTCATTGCATCCAAAATATTCATTATAAAATCACAATACACAAGTATGCAAGATTTTATGCAATTTAGTATGTATGTATAATAAGCATTATTATGTTGCACTTTTAATTTATCGAAGGAACTATAAACTTACACAAAAATACATTTCGAAATATGTAAAAAATAACTACGAAAAATTTGTCAATTAATATAAAATAAAATATGTATGGCTGACCAGTAGTTAGTACCTTAGTATATATATTGAAGCTAAGAATTAATATATATAATATATATTTTAGCCTAACTCAACAGTTAGTATCTGCGGCATAAAATATCCTTTCTAACTAGAATGATATGCAATCTCTAGTCACATTCTTTGAAACAATTTTATTTTTATCCCTGCCAGAAATAGAATATTGGGTTAAATCTGGACTCTCGCTAGAAGGGAAAGAATCACATTCTTTGTAAGTTCCCAACTTTGATTTCGATTGAGAAGATAATAGCAAATTCTAATGAGTCACTTTATTCATCTTTTAAATGATTTTTATATGACTAACCTTTGATCAGGAAAGTAAAAGGAGAATCAAACACTATTCGTAATTTTGGAAAACATTCGGGCATTTTAGGCACCGCTAAGTACATTGTTTTAAAATAATTTATATGTTAACTATATTGTTAAGTAAATTAAAATGTGGCAGCCCCCATAAGCTCAAGCATGGATAAGCCTTAACAGACCCGCAACAGATTTTCACGTCTCTGTTCTTCAAGAGCCATATACATGATCTATTAAAATTTTGACAGGGTACTCCAAGCATAATTGCATATCAATCAATAGTCTTTAGAGAATTATAATTATTGTAGATATTTCAAACTTGTGGAACTATTCTATGAAACATGTGAGAGTTTTTTGATTTGAAATTTAAAGCCCATATTGCACTTAACCTGTCTGCTGAAGAAATATTACATCCAAACCTATTTTCCTATCGCAAAAAATTTAAGGTTAATTGTTAACATTATAAGCGCATTGTTCTGTTTACCTGTAAATCGAGCAGAGAAACTCTAGCGAGCAAGAGAGGAACAACTATTGATAAATCTTATACTTTTTAATACAAGTTTTTATGAAGAATTGTTAAAAAACATAGATCGCTAAACTCCTTGATTCAATAAGCGTTGAAAAATCATATTAAAAAAATCAGTTTGTTAGAGATTATTTTTGTATTTCTTAAAGTTCTCCATGAGTAATATTTATTAGACAAGTTACAAAGTAGACTAGAATAGAGTACCTTAAACCTCATTGTTCAATATTTTACCAAAACCTTTTTCGATTAGAAACTTAATTTTGTATGTATGACTATTTGGAAATTGAACTACGCAGATAACTTCCTATAAACATGGTTCATAGACAAGAAGTCACAACTGCAATTTTTTCTTAAATTTTATACAAGCTACGCCTACGTCTTTCTTTCATTTAGTTAGCACTCCTAGTTTAAATTTTAGGAAAATAAATAAAATTGTTTTTAGATATATTAATATTAATAAAATAAAATTAACCCACGATTGTGAAATCAAGCTTCAATCAAACACTAAAGATTGAATGATAATCAAAATCCATTATCGTTTTTTATTTTATTGCAAAAGTCCTTAGTATTTTTATAGATTTAATGTAATAAATGTTGTTAGATTTCTCTATAAATACCTATATACTACTAATGGTATTACGTACATTATATATAACATTTTTTTAACTTAAATTTATTGCTATTTTGTTGAAAAGGTTTTAAATCCTAAATGGCTTTGAAAATTAATATCTTTACAATGGAATAATAAATATATTTATTGCTGTATTTATCACATTTCTTAGTAAATACAAAAAATAACAAGTATTATATGTAAAATTTCCAACATTTTTTTTTTAAGAATGGATTTCATTCAAGCATACAAAAATGCATATAAATAAATAATTCAACTTTATACTAATTTTGAGCATCATTTACCATACTTTAATACAAATAGGTATTTGTAATGAGGCCATCTATTGGCAATTATAATATAAGTATTCTGTAAGATCAACCATTTTCCGCATTCACTTGATTTGCTATCGAAAGACGTATATCATTCTCTTGAAATATGAATTTTCCGATTAAAGAAAAAAATTTAATGGATCGATTTAGGTTTATATCCAGCGCTCACTAAACTACAGTTGCCGGCCTTAAGTGGTTTTTATATGACGCTACACGCGCATTGACTTTACAGCTTAAGAGAAATGGTGATCAAGAAATCTCAAGAACCATTTCTCACAATTTCTCACAAGCAATAATAACTAGTATAGTATAAGCAAAAAAAAGGATTATTTATGAAAAAATTGAAGGATAACGAATACAATCATGTTTTCTACTTATTTGTTTACCTCTTCGAACGTCCCTTATATGTCACTTAAAGGGACAAAAAAGGTTTAAATAAATATTTTATTAGAATGTCTTTCCAGCGCAAGTTGTAGTAGACATTAAAAAACAATCAGCTTGTATTCATATACATCAAATGATATGGATTATCTCAACGTAGGGTGTATGGATATCTCTGTAGCACACTGAATGAAATTTAAATTAACCTACTAGTGTAATATGTATGTGAAGCCTATGTATACTCGAACAACTCTGCAAATTAAAACCGATTTTTAAGATACTTTTAAAAGCGCTTTAAAAATTGATTAAACCAGTATTGATTTT